GTAAACTCATTCAACATGTTGCGGAACGGAAAGTGGGAAAGCATTTAGCTCGGCGATTCCCGGGGCTATAAGAGGTACTGTGATAGACCCTTAGGGGTTGGAAGGTTTAGGGTTGAAGTTTAAGGTTCCGAAGGCTCAGTGATTCAGAGAGCGACGACTCAGAGCGATATGCGTAGTATTGATTCCGAGTAGGGGACACTCACGTAAGACTATTTTCGTTCATCTACATTGCACCGATGCGCAATTCAATAAATCATCTGCTGGCTTTTGTAATGCACTTCACCGCCACTTGCATTATAACTTATCCACTGCAACATCGTTAAAAGCCCTTGAATAATGTTGATTGCCTTTCCCACTTTACATACACAAATACACCGAGCGCGTTTTATCAGGAATTTTTGTAATTGCGAAATTAAAATGTATAAGTGTTAAATTTGTTATCTAATAAAATCGTAATGGTTTTTGTTCTCTTTTCGCACCACTTCCAATGAGAGATTAAAAACAACCCTCTTCTCTGTTCGCGCGCACTTCGTGCTATCATTATACAAATCACTACAAATTCGCCGGATGACTCTCGCATAATTTACACTTTTGTCACAATTGCTACCAATTTAACGTTGTAATCACACCATCACTCGTTATTACGTTTATGGGTAGTACATTTTTAGCAACCGATGTCAATATTTAATACCGTACTAAATTCTCTCGGGCTTAAGGTATAATCGAGGGTATAATACTACTTCAGCCCTTGAATTCAAAATTAATTACCGACGGTTTTAATACTGTACCAAAATTGGCAACTGATTTTCTCCGTAAAGGCGAAATAAATTAGAATCTGTTTAAGTCTAAGTGATACTAAACAAATCTAAATACGGTTTGAAAGGGGGCGAAAAATAAGACCAAACCCGTCGAGAAATTCTACAACGCCATCTGGAGAGTTCCTCAAGGATTTAATTCAGGGGCACGATATTTTTTACGTTTCCAGCAAGACTGTCGCATATTTATTCTTCCTGTCTTGTTTTAAGAGGTGATGGTGGTCGAGCATTTACGAGGGGTGGAGTAGCTAATTTCGTAAATCGTTGGCACGTGTTAATTTTTAATTTTCAAATGGCATGATTATCCAAATGGACATTTCTTGTTGAGTCTGGATGCTGTAATTTCGGGTAGATTTCTTCTACCTATTGTAATGGTTCAGGAACCTGAATAAGAAATCAATCCCCCCAACACATATTCATGATTATATGAATCTGTCGGTTTTCAAAAGGCACAATGCAATCTGCAGTTAGCACAATTGATTGCCATTATTGTTTATGCCATGTCTGTATCAAGGTGGTCCCTGAAATTTGATTGGAAAAATTACGTGTACGGTAAACTACAGGGTTGCCCATTATGTATGGAATATAGTATATATCTCGGTAAATATTGAATGTATACAACAATTTTTATATGAAAGTTTTTTAACATTTGATTTCTCATAATAAGGCAGCATTCAGATGTTTTTATTTCAGAAAACAAATGAGTAACGAAAAACAATTGAATTTTTTTAACTGGCAGTGCACCTTTTGATCAGGCTCATCTGATAGTTTTTTTCTCTTTAAAAAAAACATTGTAAGCACATCAATAACATTAATCTAGACATCCTACATCAAAATAAAACAAATGAATGTGTACGTTTCTTATTAAATCTTGAAAACAAAATGAAATTTGCAATAAAATGGTAACAAACGTACACATTCATTTGTTTTATTTTGATGTAGGATGTCTAGATTAATGTTATTGATGTGACTATAATAAGTTTTTTTTTGAAAAATTTTCTTGTATTAGGGTATTAACATGTTACACCATCGAAAAGAGAAAAAAAATCGCTATCAAATGAGCCTAATGAAAAGGTGCACTGCCATTTAAAAAAATGTAATTGTTTTTCGTTACTCATTTGTTTTCTAAAATAATAATAATAATCATTTATGTATTTCCTTACGACAATTATAAAATGTATAGGAACAAGTCAAACTTACACACATAATAGACTAACTAACATAATTATAACATGATCTTTTCGGATTCACGTGTTAAAGTATTCATGCAGATTATAAAAACATTCATCGTTTAGGTAGTTAAATAATTTTTTCTTGAATTGAACTTTTGTATCATAAGATGTTTATCCGGTGTGGCAATTTATTGAATATTCTCACTCCTAAAAACAACTGAATGCTGCCTTATTATGAAAAAAAAACTATCCTATATAGAAAAATTTTGTATACATTGGATATTTCCCGAGATATATCCTATATTCCATACATACTGGGCACCCTGTATTTTCTTTAATGGCACAATCCAATATGCATCAGGTACAGTTGATTACCATTATTTTTTATTCCGTATTTGTAAAAAGTTTGTAAAAAGTTTTTAGGTAGATTTCTATCTACCTATTGTAATGGTAATGGTTTATATATATCGCTTCCAAGAAACACTATAACTTTCGTAATTATGAACCCATTTCGACCAAACTTTAAGGGTTGGCGTAACTTATAAATATCTCGGTCAAGTTCGTGAATCAGCAGGACACTTTAAAGAAATCTACCTACACCTGATGGGCGGAGCCGAAAGGGATTTTTACTCTGGGAGATAATTTATATATAATGAAACAAAATCGTGTATATAACACCACTTATAACTGAAGAACTATTAAAATATCGAAAAAAACACGCAAAAATATAAAGAAAGCTATTATGAAAGTAAATAAGGGACTAATGACAACAACCGTCAAGTCAATTGTTTTCAGGGTTACAAGTTACAATTGTCTAATTCAAAAACTATCAAATTAAAAAGTAACAGGTGTAGGTTATTCGCGATCTCGATTAACTGTAAATCACGTATGCCCGTTTGCACCGACAAATTTAAGCGGAGCTTAGCTTAAGCGTCCCTTAAAATCCATGGCAACCATTGTCTCAATAATCGTTGCCATGGATTTTAAGGGACGCTTAAGCTAAGCTCCGCTTAAATTTGTCGGTGCAAACGGGCAGTAGTCTGTTAAAAATACGCAATACTTCGAAAGATTTAAAGTGTACCCATTGCAATTTTCCAAAAATAATTCCCAGATAATTTGCGCAGCGACGAACTCTTGGCATTTTTAAATAAAGTTTGGGAAACGGTAATGACCAAAGAAGTAGTAAAATCAGGAGTAAAATTGACAGCTTATGCACACCAAATAGCTTATTTCATAAAATGTATTGTTACGAAGTGACAGCAAACAAATGAGAAAAAAACAAAAAGCAATCGATAGATTGTATTCAAAGTTTCAGCAAAATGCAGTGACGTGTTTTCATGATAAAAAGGAAACTTAATAAATCGTGAAACTATTAACACCCTGTAGATGGACAACGAAGCGTTTGCGGATCTATGTTTATATCAACTTTTAGTCATAGAATTAGCCTCTTCCGTATTTACGTCATATTTAGGGACACCCTGTATGGCAAGGGCCGCGCAACATACCGAATACGTTGTTTTTTTCGTATACAAGGCTATGCGCTATCATCGTCCGCACATATGTTTTTTTTATTACCTTTTTAGTAGCGTTCTTGATGTCCGTGTCCACTGTCCAGAGTAACTTGAACAAATAAATACAGCACAGTTTAAGTTACAATTTTTAACAGAAGTTGCCTTAAAGAATTTCAGGCGTTATTAAACAGCGATTTCTTTGAAAGCAAGTGTTTTATATTAATTGCTCAAGAAATAGAAGTAGGTTACAAAATTTCGTGGCGTAATGGAATTTTTCCCCAAAGATAATTTAGTTTTATCTTCCATATCTCGTTTCATAGTAATAGTGTCGCCACCTAATATTAAGCAAATGAACCAATCCCGCCCCTTCTTCTTTTAGGTTTCTGTAATTTAAAAGCACAGCGGGACGAGGAAATATTCCATCAATTAAATCGAAAATGTCAATCACGTTATATGAACATTAATGTGATTAATTAAATTGGCGTTCAAGGACCCGAGATCTGTAAAATAGATAATTAATTACCAGGCATGACTGGTCAGTTATAATAAATGAATGTGCGAATGTTGACTACTAAAATTTGTTATAACCGTCAATATCTTAAACTTCCTCTAATACAAAAAAGAAATTTGGCAAGTAGTCAAAGACCAAACGAAATTAACTGCGAAAACTTTTTGCGCACGTGCGTATAAAGTAAGCGTTCACAAAATCTTCGGATACGATGTAATTTTGTAATAATTTAATAAATTTTCTTAATTCAGATATTTGCGGCCTCCTCGTACATCAAAACGGCCCTTTTTCTCAAGCCGAAACGGTCTATTAACTTTTATGAACAGCCACTTTTTCGGTATTTTCTTATGCGCTTCCTTTCGATCTTATTTTTAAGACCGCCGCAAAATTTATCGCCGTCATATTGTTAGTTTGTCTTAAAGTACCTTTTTCGCGTTTTACACTTCTGGTTATTTATAGAAAGTGGTTCTGAAGGCTAGGGTATCCTAGACAGAACAAATATTAACGAAATGAGGTAAAAAAGTACATTCAAATTAAATAAATTGCTGTTTCTGAAAGAATATAAATTGGTATCCTCCATGGCAACAATTGAACGGAAGACGTAATGCAAAGCACGTCCGGTTTTGTCCCCAACTTTTAACTCAATCCGCTGCTCTCTTCGCCGGCTTTCCTCTACTAGTTTAACCCTCTATATAAAATGTCATGTATGAAAATATGAGGATTACCACGTAAATCAAGCATAGTTATTAACACAGAAACCTGACACGCATTTCCACCTCTCCCTCTCGCAAAAATGATTTATGTAGGATAACGCATATTGTTTATTAACTAACCAGAAGTCTTTGTTAATTAAACATTAGAATCCCGTTAAAGAATTTCCTGTATGCGATTGCAACAACTACGTGACGAGGTGCCGATTAAACTAGCTGGTGTTAATTGGGAATTTTCTTATCTCACCTCATTAAATAAATGACACTTTTTTTGTTTCTTTCAGGTAAACCCGTCCTCTGCCGATCGAGTAACGCAGCAAATCCAAAGCAAGCTAGGGGACTTCCAGAAAGTAAAACCGTTCTTCGACGACTCGAAAAGGCTCATCGGAGTCGACGGCGTTCCTCCAAGTCCGGGCGGTCCGCTTACGGCCGCCGCCAATTTACCATCGGGAACCTCTCGACCTTCGTTAAATTCCAATTTGGTGCTACCCTCGACGAGGCCCCCTCCCCCGCCGCCGCCGACGACGAACAACGGCAGCGCGCGGTCCGAATTCAAGAAGCCGCCGCAGAACAACGCGAGACCGCCGCACCATCCTCATCCGAGGAGGGACTTTACCAAACCCAACGATGGTAAGCCTCCTTACGAGGGTCGCGGCGGATATCCGGGGCAGCCGATCAAGCCGGTCAGTTCGATTAGCAATCATCGATCGAATGGTATCGTGCCAATAAAACCGCCGCCGCCGCCACCGCAACAGTCGTCATCCTCTTCGTCTACCTCTAGTTTAAATTCGTCGTCGAATTCGAGAATACACGGTGCAAGTCGGAATTTACCTAGGATTTCTATTGAACAGGTAAGCTAAGATCGAGTTTAATTTTTGATTAACGCCACAGTACAAATTCCCTAAAACCCAAGGGAAAATTTGAAGGGTTAGTCTCCGACCCCTCTTTTAAAATGTGACCATAACGGAAAACCCATTAGATTTTTCTAAATACGGCAGAAACGACCATTCTATATACACTATGTCCCCGATTCGACCGAACCACATTTTCAATTCAAATAAATTTGCGAAAAGGTCACTATTGAGTCGGTTTCTTCGCCAGTATTTCCCAGTATCAGTTCAAATGCCTTTCATTGAGGAAACTCCTCTTTGTTTTTAAATAAAATGGACTGATAATTTAGTCAGTTAAAAATGAATCCAATTATTTTCATTTTCACATTTTCAAAACCTCCAAAAATTTAAAAATTTGGGAGTAATTTTGCACCGATTACATGAAATTCTGCATCCTTATAGAATGTTATTTCAAAAATTCGGTTGACCCAGCCAACTTCACGGAGCCGTGGAGTTTTTTATAAATTTTTTTTCTGCAGAAATTAATCGCTATTATTCGCATTTTGAATTTTGAACCGTTGGAATGAATTTTGCGCCAAAATAGGAAATGGAATGAAAATTATTGACTTCACAAACATGGTACGAAGAATCGCACACGATTTTCAGGAGGGGAGGGTTCTTCTTTATCGGTATTAGGCGCTTATACTTTGTGTTGCAATTAAGAGAAACATTTATTAAGCGGTAGAGTAAAGCGATGCAACCTTTATAGGGGAATCGATGGTGTCCGTCTGTCTATGAACACGATAAGTGTCAAACACATGAACCGATTTGGTTCAAACTTTGCACAGTTGACCTAACAGCACCACTCTGTCTCTTTTAGTTCTCAAAATATCCCCAAAAACATCAAAAACCAAGCAATTTGGAACCTGTACAATACTGGTGTTTTTGTACTCCTGCAGTCAGCTACAGCAATTTCAAATTGTCTTTGGCATTTCAGTGTGTGAGAAAAGTGTGACACTTTACTCCCTTAAATGGAAGACAAAACACGTTGATTCCATATTTCGATGACAGATCTGGACTCGACGACCGCGATAATCTCCGAGTAACATTTCTGAGCAATTTCTCGGCATTGTTAATTTATCACTCTATTGCACCCCCGTAGTGCCACCCTTGAGCGTCCCCGGGAAATTTAAGATATGGACTCGGAGACCGCGAAAATCCCGTGTAACAATTTCTAAGTTATTTCTCCGGATTTTCATATAGTTATGTTTATAATTTTCACACAATAATAAATGCATTTTTTGCACTCTATGCAATTTTCAAAAAATGGTTCAAACAGTATTGTCCAACAATTTTCTTCTTATTTTTTTTAGCATTATGCCGAAAACACCGCATTGCGATACGAACCGATTGCAAAAATTTCTCTAATGTATAAGATAAAGTTTGTAAATTCTATTCGAAAGGTTAGTACCTTTAAAGGTTCACTCCGTTAAAGTGAAGTCGGCATATCGCATTTCTCTTCCTCTTAAGTTCCGTATCGGTTGTGACTAATTTTTTATGGCGCCTCGATGGCAACTGCTGGCGCCCTAATGTCTGGGATGTGCGCTTCAATAAAGGCCGACGACTTGGAACCAAAAGCTTGGACAGTGAATTCCTTCGAGCTACTCTGTTTGATTTGGTCGTACCACGATATGCCTTTACTTTTTCGTACCAACTAGCTCAAAAAAAGAGCGTTTTTGGACAATTTCGATGCCGAATACGGCCAGAATTACAATTTAACGTGTAGTGTGAATAATAGCGTCTTATTCATCGATACGTACCCACGCTTTTTTATTGCATATTATCTTTTGAGAAAATGAGGAAATAAACCCTCTAAAATGTCTTATCAAACTTTATTTCCACTTGGCTATTTTACTACTAAAAACCAACATTTGGAAAAAAGCTCCTATTTATGTTAACAAAATGACTTCCTATCATAAAAGCCATATATTTTAACATTAGCAGCACCACCGAAAACTTTTCCGACCTCCAGCTAGTCACAACTAAACCTAAAGATTTATGACTTTATGGAGTTTACGGTCTTCGATTTATTAGACTTTCTCGACGAACTAGTCGAGCGCCAACAATGGATGGTACACATTTAACCAATTCGCTCTCTTCAATAAAACTTACCGTATTAGTTGTTAGAAAGGCACATTCCTAGAGCGCCGAATTATCATTCGTTGTAAAAGAGGGATCAAACACCTCACTTAATAGACACCAACAAAGGAATTCCGTTTCGGGGCCAATCAGAATTTTGAAAAGGATCGTAATTTATAGAGTTCTCGCACGAAAATTTTAATTCAACTGGTGTGCAGTTTTCGAGATGAAAAATATGGGACACCGCCACGCTAATGGGAGGGTATTAAATTAATGGCACGAGAATTATTCAAATCTAAACTTGTAATGTTTTGGGTCGCGTATAAAACTTTTATTAATAGAAAAAGTTGTCAAGGTCTATTTAGAAATTGAAATTACAGACAATTGTTAATTCATTCGGCAAACACAATTTAAAGTTAAATTTCATTCGTCGTCGCTCTGATAAATTGTTAATTGAATTCAACCTCAAGTTACTAACTATGTGTGTGTCGTGCCGCACGTTCACAACTTTGGGACATATTTTGCTTAATTGCATCGTGTAGGTATGTTATACCTGAAAGAAATTCGTCCCTAATATTTTCCAATTTTCGAAATTCCTATTTTGTATCACAGCAATGTTGCCTCTTACCTATCATGAACCGAGTGCCAGATGAATTCATTTCCGAAAAAATTGAAGTGAATATTTTGAATTTTGCGACCACACTTGGCATACGATTTTGAAAGACCCTTAAAATACGGCGATTATCCATCGTGTTTGCTCATGGAAATGCATTCTAGTAGATCAGATCGAGCAGGTCCATCGTGTTTGCTCATGGAAATGCATTCTAGTAGATCAGATCGAGCAGGTACCATCAGATAGCTTTATTACACTGCCCGGTCAGCGTATGCCGAATGAATGAAGAATTGTCCCTTGATTTTTCGACAATAAAATTTTGTCACAAATTAGTCTCCCACCAAGCAGGGCTGATGCTCAGAAGCTCAAAATTCAATTGAAAACGTTTTGTCTTTTACAAGAGACGACCAAACAATCGGGGGACACACTGTATATAGGTACATTATACACATAACCCCGAGCATAACCCCATAATGATTCAGGATGATTAATTGACATTTATAGTCTACTCTACAGATTTACTTTGAAGTTGTTGAAAAAACAGAAACCTTAAACTATACCTATGTATAACAGCGATCTTGGGGAAATAATATAATAATAACGTGTTAGTAATATAAATAAACATTTAGAAGGAACAACACCGACTCTACATTGGATCCTTGAGAGGCTCTTAAAGTGCCAACAATGTACCTTTAATGTAAGGCGTATAACTTTAGGGTGTTAATTAATATGATCTGACCCGACAATATTGATCCATTTGCATCCTCCCCCTAAAGATTTATGTGACAAATTTAATCCCTTCCGCCAATTTGGAAAATTCCATCGACTAATTGAATATTGTTTCTTTCTAGGGTGCTGCTAACGTTTCAAGGGACTCGAACGGATCTCAAAAAGTAGAAAGTATATTTAAGGTAGGTGTCTTCGTTCATGTTGTTGTTTGAAAAGCAATTTCCACCGAAGTAAATCTATCGTAAAGTTGCGGTGTGTTAAGGTGAAAAAAAGAAGGCAATCTTCTCGGTTACGAGTAATTTAATAGAGTCTTGTTATTTAGTGAGTTGAGAGAAGATGGCTGTATTCGATATCAGATTTTCAACCGCTGATAATTGTTAATGATTAGGTAACGGATTGCGGTCGGTTTTAAGTATCTGTCATGCACTTAGCGGACGAATTAATTAAACCAATTACACACATACGCACTTTCGGCTGTGATTTATGGTTTTCCGATATATTTGTTTTATATGTTCGTCTCCGCTTTGGTAATTTAGTTTTCAGTATCATGCGAACAAAATGTGGGCCGTAATTGAATAATTGATTTAACAACAGGTTACCGATAATTAATTGCGTTAATTAATAACGTTTCTCTTCTTTTGACATTGCCTATACAGTCGGAGCTCTTCACAAAAGGCCTCGTCATTAATAAATCGCCAGCAAAAAAATACTGCACATACTTCATTTGTTTAAAATAGAAAAAAAAAATCCTAAAACCGTTACGACCGGAGAAAATGTAAGTTCACCGATGCGGGAAAGATGATGTTACGTAGTTGCCATTTAAAGCTAATGTAGCAAGTCATCCAATTACAATTTACTGGTGTATGACGTCATAATGTCGTAATTAACATTGGCTCCGTGCACGCTTATTGAATCATCACGTAAGAACCGATCAGTCTTTCAACTCCCCGCTTTATACAATCACCTTGATGTAATATATTTGTAAGTCAGGCATATGTAAAGATTTTGAATTTGTGCTAGGCTTCGGCAACGAAATTAAGGGCCTGTGTGCGTCAACGTATTAAAGTGGGCCTTGCAGGAAAAAAATGAAATTCGTTGTTTTATTAGTAATTATTGTTTTTCATTCAATCATTCAATAAATTTTAAAATAATAGGGCTTGTTTTCAAAATTCACTAGCCCGGAAACCATTGAGTTTATGTACCGGGTGGTCAAATAAGAATGAACGTCGGCCATAGCTCAGAAACTAGTAAGACAGATTTCGAGTAAAAAATTATGTAATAAAAATAAAAATTGCTGCAAATTAGTTTCGAGTGAGAAGCGCAAGAATTATGATCAAATATAACATTTTAATTTTCTCCGGATTTGGTCTAATAAAGTGGTATCAAAGATACCCGAATTTTAATCCTGATATAATACCCATTCGTTTTACTTTTTTTCCAATTTTGTGCAACAAAGTGGAGGGGGGAAATCGAATGCTTTTTTAAATAAATATTGATTTCTCAATTTTGACTTAATAATATCTCCATGAATAAGACAGTTTTTTACAATATGCAATATGCTTATCTTTACTAGAAGTATCTGTCGTTAAAATTTAAAAAAAAATCTCCATAAATAAGAAAGTTGACATTGCGCAGCCTGTATATGCGCCAAGTAATCGTAAAGAACTAAATATCTTTAAAACTGTAGAAGTAGTTAAGGCATCAACGGTCGGACGGACGGAGAAAGTGGCCATAATAGCGCCTTCCAACATGAGTTGGAAAATACGCTAAAAATAGGTGAAGGATCGTGTACATGGAATCTCGCCGACGGTAACACGAAACTTCTTTCCCACTCGCGTTGTTATATTTTACGTTCCAAACAAATAATGGACGTGACGATTGTCTACAAATCGAATGCGGTTCAAAGTTTATTGAGGATCCCGCATTTGTAACAACGGCTTTCCAAACGCGAATTTGTTCCATATTTTACTAGGAAACCTGCTATACTATCGACTCAATCGCGATTAAAACGCGACTTAATTAACCGCTCTAATTGTCAGACTTCACATCGATTACCCTGGCAGTCAAAAACCCGAATCATCCCAAAATCTTCCCCAAAACGAATTCTCCTTATTATTTTAGTAAGTACTGTCCCTTTTTAATATCACATGTAATAATTAAGTTTTTTTTAATTGCCTCAATTAGGGTCGATATATTCATGAAAGTACAAGGGAAAGAATCCTTAAGCCCAAAATTCCACTGACTCGTCTATGATGAGCAACCGAGAGTGGCTTAATCAGGCAGTCGGAAACTGCAACCCGATAGCACTAATTAAGAAGACGAAAGATAAAAATAAATCCCAGACATCTTGACCAGAGAGCCTTCCGAAAGCCATTAAGAGAACAATACTCCAGTTTTTCACTTACTACTAAACAATTATATCGGTCACACTGCATTATTAACCATTTAACTCTTCCCCAAACACTGTGTTTCTAAAAATCTATAATCACTATCACCGAAACAATTTTTTTCGATTTTTTTAGAGGGATTTAATACTTACCTCAGTGTCTATATTTTTGCTATTATCCACTTCAGAAAAAACAAGTACTTATAAAGGAAAAAGCTGTAGGTGATTAAGTGGTTAATAATGCAGAATTACCCACATTTTTTGTCTACTGTAGTTTTTCAATAATTATCCAAAAAACGACACTTTCCATAACACAAAATTAGGCTTCTTTGTAACCTCAAAAAATATTTAGTATTTCGTTTTCGTGACACATTTATCAACAACTTCTCCCTCTCTTTTTCCGCCCTTGGTACTGCGGGAAACATTTATACACTTTGTTTTACTTTTCATTAAGAAACGTGTGTGAAGGTGTGAAAAATACTCTTAAGCACCCCGCGTAAGGGAGACTACAATTTTGTTTCATTGGTTCTGGGCAGCAAATAACAGCTGGCAGAGGTTTCGTCTAGTTCGTATACCATCCACGCATACGCGTTTCTGCCCAAAATCTTGTCAGCTGTTTCTTTTTATGTATAAGTAAGAACATGTGTACCAAGAGTTTGTTTCCAATGTGTTTAGCCGGAAATGAGAGTACATACAGACCGACAGACATCATCCATATTTGTTTGCTTCAAAACGTGTATTTCCGTGGAGGGTAATTTTTGACCCGAATGCAATACGTCCCTTACTAACGTGCGGGTGGCAAAAATGAATGAGTAGGTATCATCTCGCAATTAATTAGCGAAATGCCCTTCGATTGGTCTATGGAAAAAGGTACGATTCCGAGTATCTATCAATCATTAAGCAATAACGGCTGTTTGTATCGCATTTAAATACCCGAGGACATTTCATTAGTCCGGCACGATGACAGTCTGTAATGCTGAATAGTTTGCGATGAAATCATTTATAACAATTATAAAGCTTGTTGAACCTAAAGCTCGTGTCATCATGCCCTATTCATATTCAATTATACTTACTTTGCGAAAGCTTTCCACAAGAGAGGCCATAACTTACCATCCCCTTAAAGCACTCAAGTGTTTTTGAAGGTGAAGGTGAGCGTTATTTACCAATACGGCCTTCATGCCTTTTATTTTCAATGACGCGCTCATTTTAGTTTTCCCTATTTGCCGCTTAATTATAGAGTTTTCGCAGTTTTCGTTTAACAAATTAATTTGTGTTGCTGCTCTTCACATTTTTTATCTGTAGAGTGCTCCTTAATCTTTGAGAGTTTTAAACAGTGAAAGATGGTACGTACTTTAATTGATATTTTGATTGGAAGGTTTCGCAACTGGCTGTGGTACTGTTGCTGTCGGTTTCCTGACGGTTTTATTCCATAAACCATTTTTTTTTAAATCGTCTATCCAATGTGTATGGTTTTAGTTGTGGCCTCGTATTTCAATATTTCCTTTCCAGTAGCGTCATTTTCCTGACTACTCGTATTACAGGTTTTAATGATACCTACTAGTCCAATATTCTTAATATTTATTGCAAAACTTGTACAGGCACTTGTCTACCTGTATGTGGAAAAACCACAAACAACAATACCTTATAATCAATATACGGGAACGGGATGTAGTATTCCAATGTGAAGGTTTTGAAAATTTGCATTTCTTTTTTTATCTTTTTCTCAGCGGCTTTACGTTGCTTTCTAGGTATGTTCTTTCCAAGGTAGTACACATTTTTTCAAAATCTGCGCAACAATTACTGCCGTTAAACAAGGGTGCGAAAAAAGAACTCGTCCTTTTCGCCATCCCCAAATGTTCGTGTAAAATTTTCAACTGTTGCGGCCAGATACGCACATTTCTCTTGAAATAGTTGAGACTTTGTTCTGCTTTGATTTTAATAAGCCAGTCAGAGAAACTACCAAAAATGTATCAAAGGCTATAATTTTTGCTTCTAAAGTTCATTGAAAGTCGATAATTCTTCAATTTTTTTAATTCTCTTTATTGTCTTCTGTGTTCTCGTCTCAAGGGAGGCCTACCAGATTTTTGATTATCTTGTATGCATTATTGACCCTAACGGAATCCTTTCGACCAGATTTTTAGTTGATAATATGATGGAGTTACATTTATTCGTGGATAATTTTTAAGCCCATATCCTCTTTAGCCAAAAATGTTGTAATACCCTGTATTCAAGTTTTACGTCATTCATTCTTCATTTAATCCACTACCAAAATTACAACAATTTTGCAATTTGTACTCATAAATGCTGAAACCGTTTGAGCGAGTCAAGTGCGAATATCTGCAACATGGAGTTTCGGAAGAGGGTGCTCATTAAAGAGAGTGAAATATTTCGGCAGCCAAACGTCCGGACCCGAAGGATTAGTGAGGGGAATGCAAGGTAAATTCGAACTCAAAGAAATTGACGTGTTTGAGCGTTTTTTTTCGCTCTTAACTTTTCACTTTTCAATTTGGAAACGCAAACTCATATTTTTCGATATTGCTGACTTACTTAAATTGTTAGATGCAAAAATCCTATAACAACTAGGACGATCTTTAGTGCAACCGGAAACACACAAAACTCTATGATACAACAAAACAGCGGAAATGGGAAGCAATATAATCAATATTCAACGATCGAAATTGAGATCAGAATATATCTGTGGCCATTTGCTATTAATTACCAGAATAAATTGGAAGAATCACAATAGCGGCAGAGCTTAGAATACGAAAGTGATGATAATTTCCCTTGAGTATTGGTCCTTTGGGCGTTCATAATCGATGATAATCGAAGATTCCCAAAAACCTCTAATCAAAACAATCTAAATGATGCGCAGAGGGATATGTTGGAGAGCTTCTAGAAATTCCATAGGTATTGGTGATTGGTTCACTATCGCTTAATTATGAATAAACTTCCTTTGCGTTTATCTACTCGAATAAAACAACCGTAGAAGCATTACGTGACACTATCGCATTTTTATATCAATTGCGTCAATAACCATTTTTTTCTTTTATTTTCAGGAAATGATTGACGTACCGACGCCTCTGACAGCAATCGCTGCAACTCCTCGCATCGAACCGGATTGCAAATTTTCCTTCAATCCGACGACGACGCAACCGAAAGTACGTATTTTTGTTGTTCTTTTTTTTATTCGTTCGGTCAAAATCCTTCCGTTATCCGTTTTGCTTCAATTACGCAACGGCGATGAGATCGACGAGGGAAATCGGCATTCACTTTTCAATTAACGAACTAAAAGGGTTGGCAGCCCTCCTCCTCTCACTGATTGCGTAATTCATGTAGTGGTAATCAACGGAAGGGTTTAGAAAAGATTGTTAATCAAAGAATGGGAAGATGGTAGTTGTTTTGTATCGATTCATCATCATAAATAAATAATGAGTAGCGTGACAGTAATGGGCAGTGTTTATTACAGTTGACGGAGGCGTCATCACTGCAAGGCACACCGAAGCGTAAGTGTTTATTTTGCTAATACATGTAGTTGTAAAGGTTTGTTTGAGCGTCCAACTGCCCCAATTCATGGGCCTTGTTGCTATAGAAACGTAGAACGTTCTCATTTAGCCCTAACCCGCAGTACGGGGTGGAATGTAAAACGACTTTCGGGGGGCTTGAGGGGCGCCTTCGATGCAAGTTAGTGCACTCTGCAGTCTGCACACGACTACGTTTGAAACGGTTGTGCTCACGTTGTTTTATCTATGCTGTGTGTAAATATAATTGATTTGCGTGTTTCGTGAAGTAGTTCCGGTGCCTTTTAGTGAATATTCGGACCGGTGCCGTTAATAGCCGGGGTGTTTAATTTTACGATATTCGACTTTTATTGGCGGCTCTAAGTTTGTCGTTAATGTTTTAATTAGAAATGTTTGCCAACCTTTGTATATAACGCGAGGAAGGAAACACATGGCTGCGCCGGAATCGGTGCGCACGCAACCTTAGAGAACTTGAAGAGCGCGCGGTAAGTTTTCCAAATCGGCCATCTTACTCTTTGTTTCCGATCGCGTAACCTCCTTTGACCCGCAAGGATCCAAAGCTTCCGCTACGGTTTGTTCTCAGGCTGCCCACGGGTTGTTGACATGTCCAAATGCACTCGATATACCTGAACTAATTGGTACACGCCAACTTTTAAATTGCTTTTTACAGAGAGTGAGTGAAGAAGATTTCACTTGATGTGCGTAATATGAAAATAAAAACTATGTTACGCGCGGAGGAGAAGGAGGGATAAACTCGGTTCCGTTATTAGCTACATTCACAAATCTTCCAAATTTTAAGCGGTAAAACCGGTACACGTAGGATTCAAAACAAGAAATATGTAACAGTAGATCACTTAATCAAATCGGCTTGTTGATTAATATGAACTAATTCCTCTAGCAACCCTCCTCTATTATTTGTTAGCACCTCGACCGCGTAAAAGCAACGAACTTCCTATTCACAGTAATTTCTGTCCCCTGATTTAATTACGCTTGCTGTGGATTTAAGATTGACATAACCAATCACAATTCACAATAGAAAAAAGACAATTTTTCGCGCGATGGCGACAGCAAATTGAAGTTATTAGCGAAATGGCGACCGAAATCACCTACCGTAACATTGAATATTAATAGGATGCGGTTTTGTAGGCATGTTATTGATTTCAAAATGGGGCATATTTGATTATATCCCTTTTTTTTGGTTCGCACTAAGATTGTTCGAATCTTATTCCAGAGGGTGGACGTCCTGGAGCGGAAATAAATCGGAAAAAATCGATCGGCACCTAAACATAATTTTTGGCGGATTGTATTTTTTTCATTAATCTCCCGAAACATAGCCATTTGTTCACTGACTTTTAAATTAAACCCTCTCGATTTCATCCCCCCTGGTATTCACCGGATTTAAATTTCATTATGTTTGAATGGTAGGAACCATTTCCATCAAATATACCAGTTCGACCGTTTTTCTTGTAAAGTGTAAACAGGATAGGCATAATATGATAAGTGGAAGACCTCCCCCTTCGACAATTTTCGCATTTACTTACATTTCTTCATACACTCCAAAAAAAGCACGTGCTTTTTGGGTTCTGTATGTTCTTCCCATTCTCTTCTTTTCTGAAACCACGTCGTATCTACTATGTCCTACGGGAGAGGTATATCCGCTAAATAAAACTATAGAGGGTGTAACATACCTACAGGTCCCATTGAGGGCTTTCATGACAGAATTAAACACCGATTGTAATTGATAATTTTGATAATAAAAATTGCAAAAACGCGCCCATTTAGGTAGCTAGGGATAAGGTTTACGTTAGTTTTAGCATTCATTCTCGCACGCCCAGCTACCCCACTTTAAAATTATAGTATGCACCCCCCATCGAGCGACACATCATTGCAAAGGTCATAAAATTCTCTTTATCGAAATATTCCCTACCAAATCAATGGGCTGGTTAGGAATAAATGTTAAAGACAAGACAAATACAATAGTTATTTAATAAAAGTCAGGAAAATGATACATTGCTGGCGAGGAAATATTGAAGGACGAGATCCCTTTGGGGCCGAGTACTTTAATTTCCGAGTTAAGTAGTGTCATTTTAGTGATGAGTTTTGTATTAAATTTTAACCGAAATCGTATTTTAATATAAAATTTTCGAATAAAATTTCAATTTTCATAGAACTTTTCCAGGAAATTTTGATTAATGTCAATCAGTCAGTGATGACCACAGAATACGGCCTTCTCAGAATAGAAACAGCAATGTTACAAATTTGTATGGTATTTTGGCGGACCCTGGTGGGTGTACTGTGAACTAAATCATCAAAATCAGAGCAGCGCCATCTGGTGACCAGCCATGAAGTAATTTCCCCAATTCGATCCAATTCATAAATATTGATAAAGAATACACAGTTGTTAAATTAAAGTGTACTTAGATACAATCACATTACATTATTTAACACATCAGAGAACTTAAATTACATGTTTACAAATTACATATAAAACTCAGAAGTGAGTGGAACTTACGCTTTGTAGATGTAAACACTAGGAAGATCCTTATATAACGATTTGTCGTACGAAATATTTGGTTTTAATTGCTGTTTGGACTACATATTTTTGTTGCAAGAGGTAATAAAACCGTTTCAGCAAATTGTCACACAAGTTTTTGACAACAAATGTTAACTTGATCCTGGTGCTTACTTGTTACTTGAGAAGCGAGGGTGGAAGTTGTTGAATTATCTAAAACGTATTTTTTATTCATTATCTAAAAGGAATTCCATATAAGTATCTACGTCTATATAAATATAAAACTTAAGTCTACACCCTGGTCTACACCCTTTTGCGACTATACCGTTGGTAATTTATAAATTCAATACCTTGCATAAATAGGAGAGAAATAACAGCACATTTCAACCCTCTTCGCGTTTCGAGCACAAAACAATCTGTTTCAAAATATGGGAAACGATGCCTTTTTGATATTTTATCGTTACAATCCGCCACACAACACTTTTTACGGTCACATAACTTGTTCCTATTTTAAATCTTTCAAAAGTCAAAATTGACATGTGTAAAACCATGTGTACGTATAAAATTGACGGTAATAGTTATTTACATATGAGTATGGTAAATCAAGGTTTACGTTAACGAGTGAGATGTTTACTGCCGAAGCGTAGCTGAGGCAGGAATTTCGAAACGAGTAACGTTAACTGATTTAACATACAAATAATGTAAAACGTTTTATTTCATACTGCTCTATTTCTATTAAAATACCATTTTGATTAGAATGTTGTAGGTAGACATTAAAATAAAAGCAAAAGTCGATCACTTGATTTGTTTGATCTGACAGTAGTTTGACAAATATGAATATCAATCAATCAATCAAATATCACGTTTAGATGGATGTCAGTTGCGGTTGCTAGGCAAAATTTCCAGTCTGGTAAACATTTTCAGGGCCGAATGCACAAAAGTTAATCAAAGCTTAACGGCGCTGTTAACTCATTTGTTTCGATTAAAAAATGACATTTGCTTTGATTAAATGAGTTAATTTAACGGAACTGTTAAACATCGATTAAGCTAAAATTCCTATGCACAAAAAAGAATTAGCATTAACGACGCCGTCAAGTCGGCTTTAATCACGGCAAAATTTAACCGGTGCTCATTGACTGATTAAACTGACAGTTCGTTGATAATGTTCAATTTGATCTTGTGGAACGTATTTTTATAGAATAATTTGACCTATTCTAATAGTTATTCGAGATGTTCCTTATTGTTAATTAGTGTTAAAGTTCTCAGTTTGTGTTCAGTTCATTTTTTAATAGGTACTTACTTTTTCATAAATAAATTTGGAAATAATATGTAAGTGAAAAATTACTTTTTACTTATAAATAACATAATTCCTTACTGTTTATTTAGCCATTTTCATGTTGGACATTTCACTCTCCTCTTTTTCTTCGTCCTCCGATGAAGAGGAAGCCCCCGCCAGGAGAATAAGATTTATAAGGGATAGAAACAATCCTTTTCAAATATACGATGATATCGATTTCAAAATGAGGTACAGGTTTTCGAAGCCAATAGTACAAAATTTGCTTCATATGTTTGGACATTTAATAGAACCGAAAACCAAGAGGAACAAAAGTATTGATGGCCTAACCCAGCTTCTAATAACTCTTCGGTTCTATGCAACTGGAACATATCAAAGAGTTATTGGAGATCATATCAACGTAAATCAGAGTACTGCCTGTCGTGTGATAAATAGAGTCACCAGACATCTTGCTCGTCAAAGGCCAAATTTTATAAACATGCCCAAGAACCAAGACGACATTTTACAAGTCTGTAGAGGCTTTTACAGAATCAGAGGGTTTCCTAAAGTGATTGGAGCTATAGATTGCACACACATCAAGATACAGTCTCCTGGTGGAAATAATGCTGAGCTATATAGAAATAGAAAAGGCTTCTTTTCTATTAATGTGCAAGCCATATGTGATGCCACATTAAAAATCAGGCACATAATAAGTAGATGGCCAGGATCTGTTCATGACAGTACTATTTTCAATGATAGTCCATTAATCCCGGAATTTGAAGCTGACCAATACGGAGCAGGAACTTATTTATTGGGGGACTCTGGATATGCTTGTAAGAAATATCTCTTAACCCCTTTCTTGAATCCCCGAACGCCCGCAGAAGAACGATACAACAGGTCACATGTGGCAACAAGGAATACGATCGAAAGAACATTCGGTGTGTTAAAAAGAAGGTTTCCTTGTCTCTTTTTAGGCTTGAGAAATACTGTTCACGTATGTTTGATGATAATAGTTGCATGCGCGGTCTTACACAATATTGCCATTGATTCAAATGACCATTTAAACGAATTTTTTGAAGATCAAGGCAGAGCTGAAGACATACCGATCGCAGAAGGTTACCGGAATGAAAATACATCCATTAGAACTGCTCTAGTTAATACTACTTTCAGTTAATAAATTTGTTCTGTCCGTTTATTTGT